ACTATTACTAGATCATTGGAAAGAAACAATTTTAAGAATTTGTGTGTGTGTGTGTGTGTGTGTGTATACATTGTATATATAGAACTTAATGATTAAAGACTGTTAATACCAAAAATGACTTCAAGAATTTGAGACAAGACAGTTGAGAAAAATGATAGCCCCTTTGGGAGGAACGGTGAAGAAGAGGAAGAATTCTTTTGGAGTTTGATGATGATTGATCAACCTTGATTATGTTGTTTTTGAAGTGAGAAGACATCCATGTAGGTATGTACACTTAGAATAAGCATGAAATTGAAATGAGGGGATAAAGTTAAAGACTCCCAGTTTTGAAGTTACCAATCAGGTTTCTATAAACCAGGAGTAATAGATAAAGATGATTTATGTTTTTAGGGTAATTTCTTAGAAACCATAGACTATAGAAAGGAAAATGAATATTCAAAACAAAACTGCCTGAGTTTAAAGGAATATAAGACTGTTCTCATCATTGTTATTAGATGCTGTCGAGTTCCAGCTCACACCAACCCTATGTACGACAGAATGAAACATTACCTGGTCTTGTAGCATTCTCACAGTCGTTGCAGTGCTTGAGCCCATCGTTGCAGTCACTCTGTCTGTCCCTCTTGTTGAGGGGCTTCCCCTTTTAGGCTGACCTTGTGCATGATATACTTCCCCAGGGACTGATCTCTTGACAAACATGAGCAAAATATAAGAGATGACGTCTGGCACTTCTTGCTTGTAAAGAACATTCCAGCTATCCTTCCTCCAAGACAGATTTGTTCATTCTTCTAGCAGTCCATGGTACCTTCAGTTTTCTTTGCCAGCACCACAGTCCAAAAGCATCAATCCTTTTTCAGTCTTCCTTATTAATTGTCCAGCTCTCACATGCTTATGAAGCTATTGAAAATACCGTGGCTTGGCTCAGGCACACTTTAGTCTTCACAGTGACATCTTTGCTCTTGAACACCTTAAAGCAGTCCTTTGCAACAGATTTGCCCAGTGAATAAGTCATTTGATTTCTTCACTGCTGCTTCCATGGATGTTGACTGTGGATCTGAGTAAAATGAAATCCTGTAACTACTTCATTATTTCCTCCCATTTATCATGATATTGCTTATTGGTCCATTTATGAAGATTTTTGTTTTTCTTATGTTGAGTGTAATCCATACTGAAGGCTGTACTTTGATCTTCATCAATATGTGCTTAAAGTCCTCTTCATTTTCAGCTAGCAAGGTTGTATCATTTGTATATTGTAGGTTGTTAATAAGTCTTCCTTGATCCTGATGCCACATTCTTCTTCATATAATCTGGCTTCTCTGATTATTTGCTCAGGATACAGATTGAATAAGTATGGTGAAAGGATACAATCCTGACACACACCTTTCCTATTTTTAAACCATGTAGTATCCCCTTGTTTTGTTCAAATAACTGCCTCTTGGTCTACATACAGATTTCTCACAAGCACAATTAAGTGTTCTGGAATTAACCATTCTTTGCAGTGTTATACATAATTTGTTATGATCCACACAGTCAAATGCCTTTGCATAGTCAGTAAAACAAGTAAACATCTTTCTGGTACTCTTTGTTTTCAGCCATGATCCATCTGATACCAGCGATGATGTCGCTCATTCCATGTCCTCTTCTGAATCCGACTTGAATTTCTAGCAATTCCCTGTCAGTTAACTGGTACAACTCTTTTTTAATTATCTTCAGCAAAATTTTACTTGGATGTGTTAAATAATTTCTGCATTCTGTTGGCTTACCTTTCTTTGGCATGTGCATAGATACTGATCTCTTCCAGTCAGTTGGCCAGCTAGCTGTCTTCCAAATGTCTTGGCATAAGCAAGTAAACACCTCTAGTGCTGCATCCATTTGTTGAAACATCGTAATGGGTACTCTGTCAATTCCTGGAGCCTTGTTTTTCACCAGTTCCTTCACTGCAGCTTGGACTTCGTCTTTCAGTACCATTGGTTCTTGCTCACGTGCTCCCTCCTGAAATGGTTGAATATCAACCAATTCTTTTTGGTTAGCGACTGTATTCTTCCACCTTCATTTATAACCATTCAAAAACAATTATTTGGTATTTTAGTATCCTAATGTTTTTCTAAGAAATTACCCCACTTTTAGTGGCTTACAACAGTTTTTTAAATTATTATTTGACAGTTTTGGAGGCAGAATGCTACAAGAGCTCTGGGCACATTAAGGGTTAATTTGTTTATTCCTGCATCCTCCAGCTTTTAGAGGCTGCCACATTCCTTGGCTCATGATCCATATGGCTTTGACCCCTTCTTCCATCATCATAATTGCTTCTCTCACGCAGACCCTTGTGATTAAATTTTGCCCACACAGGTAGTCCAGGATAATCTCATCACAACATACATATTTTTAGCACATCTGTAGAGGTTCTGGGGATTAAGGCATGGGTGTCTTTGGGGTACCATTATTCAGCCTACTATAGTCTGCCCTCTGGCTCCCAAAGATTCAAGTCCTTCTCACAGTCAAAATATATTCACATCTCTCAGAATCTCAACTCATTACAGCATTAACTCAGTCTAAAATCTCATCTACACAAAAAACCCAAATCTAGTCTAAATTAGGAATGTGTTTTACTCTGCATATGATTCATGCTGGGGCAAAATTCTCTCCTGTGGACTTTTGAAAATAGAAAACAAGTTACCGGCTCCCAGAATGCAATGATGGGAAAGGTATACCAGTTACAGACATTCCCATGCAAAAGGGAGAAAATGGAAGGGAAAAGGAACCACCAGTCCCAAGCAATTTCAAAATCCATCTGGACAAACTTCGTGTGGTGTCACATCCCTGTGACACATGACTCCGCCCCTGGACTCATAACTCCACCCTTGGAGTCATCCTTCCTTTTTCCTGAAATGTATTTGCAGCTAAGTAGCTTTATCAGCCTACTTTCTGCCTTTATAGTTCTGGGAGTCTGATGCCTTCTTTCATTTTTTTCCCTGTCTCTGTCCTTTCAGCCCAAGTTGGCAGTGTTTCTGCTGATAACACGATCTCCAGAACGGTCTGGGTTTCCCAAGTATCTCATGGAGATTCACACCATTAGACAATAGAATCCTCCGCAGGTCTTTCCTGGAAAATGCCACCTCTGTTCTGACTTCTGTTTAGATGGCTGAAGCATCATTGAGTCAGATAACATTTGTTCAGATAATATACAGCATGATGAGTACCGTGACTTTTTGATCCTTCCACAGACCTAGCAAAAGGTTGTTAATCACATCCTTGGCTTTCTCTCCAGAACACACTTTACTATCAGTGTATCCTAGTTTTATCATCTTATAATCTAGATAGGCTGAGAATTTCCCAAATCATCAAGTGCTGGTTCCTTTTTGCAATACAGTTCTTCCTTCAATTTATTTCCTTCTTCACATTTTGCTCTAAGCAGCAAAATAAACTGGGCTGCACATTTAACATTTTGCCTGGAAGTCTCTTCAGTTCAATAGCTTTTCACATAACTACAGAACACAATTCTGCTAAGCTTTCTGCCACTGTATTACAAGGATTCTCTTTCCTACAGTTTCTGTCGTGTTCTGCATACTTCTTACAATAGTCTGTTTGTGATGATTTAGGTATTCTCTAAGACGATTCCACTTCTGTATTTTGAGATATTTGACAGAAGCACTTCTCTTCCAGGTATCAAAATCTATACTAGTTTCTTCTTGTTAGAACACATTACCACAGACTTAACGGCATAAAATAATACAAAATTAGTATCTTACAGCTCTGGAGGTCAGAAGTCTAAAATGGGTTTGCAGGTCTGTGTTCCTTCTGGAGGCTTTAGGGGAACATTTGTTTCCTTGCTTTTTCCAGTGTCTAAAGGCTGCTTAAATTCCTTTACTCACGACTCTGCATTGCTCTGACCTCTACTTCTTTTGTCAGTTCCTTCTCTCACTCTACCATTCCTGTGCCCACCCAAATATCATTCCTCACCTCGGTATCCTTACTTTAATCATATCTGCAAAGTCCTTTCTGCTATATAAAGTAACATATACAGGTTCTGGGGAATTATTCAACCTACCACATTTGGAAAGCTGCTTTATCTAATTGGCCGTGTCTTTAAACATAATTGTTTGGGTGTCATTTATTGCCAGGATGTAAGGTGATAAAACAGAACACATCTCTCATTGTAACTAAAACAGGGCTCCCAGAGGTGTTTTGTGATCTCCAGATTACCTCACTATGTGCACTGCTCTCATGTGTTCCTGAAGATTTCATTCAGATGAAATGATAAAATATCAGTTCCCTGCCCTGCAGAGAAAAGATGTCATGGCATTTGTTAGCGAAGAGCATCATGTAGTAAGCCATGAGTACTCAAGTGAGGAGGAGGTAGAATCTTGACATGAATATGTGTGTGTATGTAAAAGCTCCTCTGATGGTGGCCCTGGGTGGCACGAATGATTTGCACTCAGCTACTAAACTCAGAGTTGGCAGTTTGAACCCACCCAGTGACACCATAGAAGAAAGGCCTGGTGATCTACTTGCATAAAGGTCACAATCAAGAAAATCCTGTGGAGTAGTTCTATTCTATAACACATGGAGTCACCATGACTCAGAATTGACTCAACAGTAAGGGGCTATGTTTTGTTTAGGTAGTGGTGTTTGGCACTCAATGGTGAATCCCCCTGTACTTTATTACATGTATAAACTGTTCTGCTCTTACAGCAATTCATGTTACAATGTAATACATCTCATTTCAGGATAAAATAGGTAGTCAAAGTCCAGTAATAGGGATTTCTCGAACTTAGAGTAAACAAGTTTGTTGTCTTTAATGTAACCCACGCTTTGCCATATAATACTCTTCACAACCCTTGAGTTCTGTCTCATATATTAGCTGCCATGTTGATGATTTTGCACTATTGCTGGGTAGTGCAAAAAAAAAAAATCTGATTTTGTAGTTAAATGATATAAAGGACTGAATATAAACTCATTTCAAACACCAGAGTAAATATTTTTGTTTTGTTTTTCATTGCCAGGTTTGTATCTATGGGAGCATATTTTTGAAGGCTCACTTGATCCCACTGATGTGACTGCTCAGTGGAGAGAAGGAAATTCAATTGTAGGAAGAACACATTTCAGGTATTAGTTATGCACCATTAACCTTTGTTGTGTCGAGGTACTATGTTTTATATAAATACTAGAAGGAAAATACATAAAATATTTTATTTCAGCTTGTGACTAATAGCAAAATAAATTTGATGAATATGTAATAGTGGTTAAAGCCTACCTTGAATATTTTCCTGTGAAATATGAGCATTACAAAGTACTACGTTTTTTTTTGGAATCGTGTCTGTTTCATCTTCTTCAAAACATTTCTGATTATATGGAAAAGTTCATGCTCCAGGCTCTTTAGATTTGATTATTATGAACATTTAACATTTTATATTTTAGAGGAATAATATGTAAATGTGAAAATATTTTCATTTTTCTTTTTAACATAATAGACATGTTCACTTTTTATAGTATTGAGATAGTATTAAAGCTGCTGCTGCACTATTGAAAATTTTATTTTTTAAGATATTTTATGTAAGTAATTTCTATTATGATTTAGGGAGCTCTGGTGGCATAGTGCCTAAGGCATTTGACTCCTAACCAGAAGGCTGTCGGTTCAAACCCACCAGCCACTCCTCGGAAGGAAGATGGGGCAGTCTACTTCCGTAGTGATACTGCCTCGGAAACCCAAGGGGGGGGTCACTATGAGTCGGGTCCGACTCGACAGACAGCACATAACAACAACAACAACATTATGATTTAATGGTTTAGATTACCATTTTTCTCCCAAAACTCAGGTATCTGTTTTGGGGGCATGAAATAAAATCAATATATTGCTGAGATTTTTTTGACCTTTTATTTAGGAGAAAAACTTTTACATTCAACCCTATATCTTGTGGAAGGAGCTCTGGTGGCACTGTGCTTAAAGCATTGGGCTGCTAACCAGAAAGTTAGCGGTTTAAACCCACCAGTTACTTAGTGGGAGAGCAGTGAAACAATCTGCTTCTGTAAAGATTTACAGCCTTGGAAACCCTATAGAGCAGTTCTACTCTGTCCTATAGAATCGCTGTAAGTCGGAATTGACTTGATGGCAGTGGGTTTGGGATGTCTTGGGAAGATCTTTAAATGGATAGAAGAATTAAGATCATTTTATTTGGAAAAATTTTGGTAATTTTATAATAAAAAAATTTTGAACCAAAGAAAATGCTGTTTTTTATTAGATTTTGTTTTCTTACTGAAATAAAAATTATTATTTTAAAATGCTTATTTCAAAAAAAAAGTGCTTATTTCATGTGACATGTGTACTATTAGGGGAAAAAATGTGAACCAAAGATTGTGGTTTCTTTTAAGATTCCATTTTTTTTCACCTAGAAATCAAGAGAGGAAAAGCTATAACTTACCTCTATTTCATTTTAGTTTTCACTGCTGTTTTAATTCTTCATTTACTTTACAAACTCTTGGAAAACAGTTTCATTTTGTGTTTCTTTTCAGATGTAAAGAGGTTTTTAAAATCAGCATTAGTAATGCTTATTTTTCCTTTCATCACTATTCACACTTCTATTAACCTAATCCCATCCAAAAGTTTTTACATTGCCCTAAATTTATAATAGTTGGATTTGGGTGTTTGGAAGTAAGTGTCTGTTATGCATGTAACTCTAAAATTTTTTTATTTGAAAAGTAAACATCTGTTATGGATATTATTCTAATAGTTCTACCCATAATAAATAGATTTTTCATGAAAGTTCTTAAAAATTCCTGGAAAAGTTAGGATCTTTAAGCTTAAAATTATACAGTGCTTTTATAATGATAGCAAAGGATTTGACCAAACAGATAGCTTTAACTCCCAAAAGAAAGCCTAATTCATCCATCTTTTCTGAGATTTTTGTCTAATGTTTTATATTATAATCAAATATCAATGCTATTTTCTCTTAGGATTTAAGAAAACTGCGTATTCAAGGAAGTTCATTATTGTACCAGATTCTTAAAAACAGGTTATTAAAAATTTAGGTTTATAAAGAGTTGTTGTTGTTGTTGTTGTTGTTGTTGATGTTGTTGTTATGTGCCGTCGAGTCAAACCTGACTCATAGCGACCTCTCCTTGGGTTTCTGAGGCAGTATCACTACGGAAGTAGGATTGCCCAACCTTCCTTCCGAGGAGTGGCTGGTGGGTTTGAACCGCCAGCCGTCTGGTTAGCAGGCAAGTGTCTTAGCCACTATGCTACCAGAGCTCCTAGCATGCATAATTTATTATCCAAAATTAATAAACCTTTATGGAGTTGTAAGTCTTAAGCTGAATTGGGTTACAAGGGTACTACTAACTTACAAGTTTCAACATATTTGCCATTCTCATTTGACCAAAAGTAAGTGTAAATATAAATGTTTAAATAAGCCTTTAGATTTACAGAATATTTATGTTATTTAATTTGATCCTCACAACAATCCTAAGGCAGAAGTATAAAAAATATTATGAGTGTTCCAGAGTTGATATGGCTCAGGAATACTGATTCTTACTAACTCATAGATCCAAACTGTGTTATCCAGAATTGTTGTTGTTATGTGCCGTCGAGTCGGCCCCGACTCATAGCGACCCCTCCTTGGGTTTCCGAGGCAGTATCACTACGGAAGTAGGATTGCCCAACCTTCCTTCCGAGGAGTGGCTGGTGGGTTTGAACCACCAGCCTTCTGGTTAGCAGTCAAGTGCTTTAGCCACTATGCTACCAGAGCTCCTGTTATCCAGAATACCAAGTAAATAACTCAAAGTGGAAAGAAAACTATCAGTAAGGCCATGTGCTTATGTTGGCTTGACCAGCACATTCTTTCCATATGGGCAGGCTACAAGTGATACCCAATTACTTTAGGATTGTTTACTTAGCTGTGGAATTTCATTCCATATTTAAAACATGAAAAACATGATTTAATTACATTTTATGCTTCCAGCTGTACATGTTTCAGAAGGCAGGACTGCTCGTTAACCATTGAATCAGCGTTGCATGCATTGTTTAGCACATAGTGTGTGCTCAGAATATGAATACCTGAGTATTTGTGTGGCAAGCTGAACTTCTCTCAGATAAAGGCTTCTCACTTCTGGGCAGTATAGCAATATAACTAAGTTGTTCAGAGCACACACCCTGGAGCTTAGACTTGTTGTTTATGCCATCAAGTCAATTCTGTAGCAACCCCATGTGACAAAGTAGAACTGCCCCATAAGTTTTCCTAGGCTGTAATCTTTGCAGGAGCAGGTTGTCACACCATTTCTCCTGCAAAGCAGCTGGTGGGTTCAAACTGCCAGCCTTTTGGTTAGCAGATGAGCACTTACCTATGGTACCCCCAGGCCTCTTTGGAACTGAGACTACCTGGATTCAAATTCCAGCTCATCACTTATTAGTTCTCTGACCTTGGTAAAGTTCTGAACCACCTGTGCCTGGGTTTCCTCAAGTTTAAAATAAGGCAAATAATAGTTCTATTTCACAGAATTGTGAGATTAAATGTATTAGAGTGCTTAGAAAAATATCTGCCACATACTAACCACTATAGAAGTGTTTTTTTTGTTGTTGTTGCTTTGGTTTTCTATTTGCTCTTTTTATATGTGTGTGAGAGAGAGACAGAGAGAGATTTGGGTGAAAGTTTACAGAGCAAATTGGTTTTTCCATTCAACAATTCATACATATTTTGTTTTGTGACATTAATTACAATCCTCACAACATAACACCTTTCTTCTCACTTCCTCCATATGTTTATCATTTCCTTCTTTCTTTCCTATGCCTTCCTGCCTTCTTAGCTTTTTCCCTGAGTAAATGCCTTTCTTTTAATCTTGGATGGTTGATTGTTGTAATGAGTACGTATCTTCTTAGTATTATTGTTCACATTATAGGCCTGTCTGTCATTTGGCAGAAAATTGATTCATGAGGTTGGTTCATGAGTTCAGTTCCAAGCCTTAAGACTGGCTAAGGACCATAGTCTCAGGAGTTCCTCCAGTCTTCATCAGACCAGTGTTGTTGTTGTTGTTGTTATGTGCCGTCGAGTTGAACCCAACTCATAGCAACCCCTCCTTGGATTTCCAAGGCGGTATCACTACGGAAGTAGATTGACCAACCTTCCTTCTCAGGAGTGAGGTGGGTTTGAAAACCACCAGCCTTCTGGTTAGCAGTCAAGTGCCTTAGGCACTATGCTACTAGAGCTCCTCATCAGACCAGTAAGCCTGGTCTTTTATGATTTTGAGTTTTGTTCCACATTTTTCTCCCACTCAATCCAGGACCTTCTGTTGTGATCTCTTTCAGAGTGTTCAGCAGTTATAGCCAACCACCATCTAGTTCTTCTGGTCTCAGGGTTGTTGAGGCTGGAGTTTGTGTGGACCCTTAGTCCTTTAGACTAATTATTTCCTTGCATCTTTGATTTTCTTCTCTCTACTTTGCTCCAGATAGGGCAGGACCAATAATTGTTCCTTAGGTACCCTCTCACAACTTGTTAAAACCCCAGTTATTGCTCATCGGAATAGGATGTAGAACGTTGTCTTTGTGGACTATCCCTTCAAACCAAAAACCAAACTCAGTGCTGTCGAGTCGATTCAACTCATAGCAACCCCTCCTTGGGTCTCCAAAGTGGTATTTCTACGGAAGTAGATTTCCCAGTCTTCCTTCTGAGGAGTGGCTGGTGGGTTTGAACCGCCAGCCTTCTGATTAGCAGTCAAATGCATTCAGCACTATGCTCCTGGACTGTTCCTTAGTGTCCCCTAAAATTACGGTCCTGAGCTCCCATGCCTAGTGACCCATTCCTTCAAGGTGTTTCATTATGACTAAAAAATTTTCATAACTTTGCCCCCTGTATGTTCTACTACTTTCATGGATATTTTTGTAGTGCATATAAAACATATGTAGAAGTGTCCTGTTAAACCTATATATATTCATGGGTATAGTTCCATTTACCTCCCCTCACCCACCCCGCCCTGTTCAGCTTGAGTTTTTGTGTATCCTCTAGTAGATTACTGTTATTACTGTTTCTGTGGGATTGGGTATGTAATAGTATTTACCTTTGGTGCCTTTAACTCCTCTGTGTCTTCCTTTGCCTTGACCATTTTGTGCTGACCGCCCC